TTGTTTGATAATTTCCCGTAAAAATTCTTTCCGAGAAACTTCAGCGATAAACGTCCTTTCTTAAATAAAACTAGTTTATTCTTGTTCGTTACAAACTTTGTAAAACACTTAATTTCCACAGTCACTTTAAACTTAACTACTTTTATAAGCACACGCTATAATTCACAGCGATTCACACACTTTAGTTACAGTGCTACTGCTCGCTTGACTCGATTATCAATTATTTCTCTTCAATATATCTCTGGCTTATATACTAAAAAAGAGGGCATCTAGCAAACGCTGGGACATTTGTGATGTTGCCCGATAAGTCACGATCCTTCTAGAAACTCCAGCGCGCATGCTCCCAGCGTCGCATGACTTCCGCTGTCGTAACAATAGCAATATTAAGAAAATATTTCTTTAAGTTTCACTAACTATTTTTAAGAATATAAATATCTAATGTTACTTCGATCCCATAATATTACAAAACTGTTTGAGATAATCATTTTTTCAGTTGTATGAGGATTAAAAATTTCCAAAGCGTCATTTTGTTTTCCAGAAATTTAGCTTATGCGAAATTTTTTTTATCACTATCCCCCCCTCCAAAGATTATCGAATAGTTTTGAATTTTATTTCTGAATAATTTTGGTTAATTATAGGTTTAAAGTTTAAGACACAGTTTCAGCGAATATGTTATTTGGGTTTTAACATATGTTAGAAACTAATATATTGGCAAAGTGTGCTGAAAAAAAAAAAAAAGAGTAAAAATAATTCACTTGCTTTAATCTGGTTCACACCGTAACACTCGTTGTTCTTGAAAATTGATGAGACTTATGTATCGCCTAGACCACTACGGTTTACGTTGTATTCAAATCAGCCTGATGATCCTTTCTGTTGGACGAAAGACCTCTCGGCATTCAGTATGGTAGATGTAGTGTAGTTGATATATTATGACATATTATACCCTGCTTTCACTTATGGGTTCTTATAACATAGAATATGTATAGCATTCATTTGGAATAAGTATACAAAAATAATGATTACAGAAACAATTTATTACATTTGATTTGTAATAAAAACTAAATAGTTTCACTCGCAAATCACACAATTTGCCCGCCAGTGGTACAGCGATAATATCTGCGGACTTATAAGGCTAGAAACCGCGTTTCGATACCAGTGGTGAGCAGAGCACAGATAGCCCATTATGTAGCTTTATACTTAACCACAAACACACTCACAGAAATTACCCGTATGCGATTGAAGACATTTAACTGAAAAGAATGTAATAAATTAAACAATGTAAATATTCGGATATGAGTCCGGAAAAACAAAGAAAAAAAACTATGCATATATTTATGATTTGGAAATACAAATATGTTCAGAGTTGGACCTAAGCTTGTGCAAAACAACAACAATGGAATAGCTTATTGTTTAAAATGCACACTAAACAGGTGGAATATTGTCAAAATAGATAATGATTAATGGAAAGCCTGATGTTCGTCTTCAAACCTGAGATAATTTCAAACACAAGATGTCACTGTTTTCTCAGTTTTGTTCATCTGCAATTTGTAAACTAGGTTACGAAGAGTTCGATAGTAAGTTTTCAAAGAGTTTAAATTAAGAATAAAAGAGTTTATCAATAATTTTTAAGGAGGTACGTAAATTTTAACTAATAGTATGATACAGTAGTTTCGATTAGTGATTGCTAAGTGTTATATGCATTATTTTTGCGATTAACTAAGGAAAAAGAAGAGTTGAACTTGAAAGTTGAATTAGGATTTTTTAATACTAATAGAAATAATTTATACTTGTATAGTTGCAGGACTAGATTATCACAATTACTACTTATACTATTGATATAATGGTGCCTTTTAATGAATTAACCTTTTATCTTCTACGTTTTAGTTTTGTACGTTGACATTGAATTACTGTACTAGAAGTTATAACTTATATTTAATATTAGAACGATGTTATGTTCACGGTGCAGTGAGAAGAGCACTGTAGTGGAGAGTTAAAACAGTTATTCTTCACGTTACTACTGTTACTCAGCTATTTTAATAATATAAAATTAACAAGAAATGACAAAACAATTAACAAAAGTGTTACTGTCAATACATAGGCATGTTCCTTAATTTAAAAAAAGTGGATGCAAGTAAAAAAGTCAGGTTTCCTCACAAATGGTTTAATGGATAAAATTAAAGAAAAGCATTATAAATTTAAGAAGTTTAAATTGACTGCTATGGGAGATTTAGAGAATTATAGAATATGATACAGGAACATAGGAAATCGAAAGAAGTGTAGGAAAAAGTTATTTGAAAATCCAAAGATTAATAGTAAAAATTTCTTTAAGTACATTAATGGTAAGTAAGATGTTAGGATGGATTATTTAGTAGGTTGGATAAATAAGTGGTAGCTGGCTTTTAATTATAATAAATGCAAGGTAATGCAGATGGGATATGATATTGTAATTTGAACTATAAGTATAATTTTGATGTGAATAACTCTAACAGTAGTGTAGTGGTTGATCAGTCTCTTAAGCCATTCAAGCAGTGTGCTGTTGATAGTGGTAGAGCAAATAGGATTTATTTATAGAGGAATTTAATACAAGTCTAAAATGTTTATAATTTCATTGTATCTCATTGGTTAGACCACATTTGGAGTACTGTGCTCAATTTTGGGTGTCTTACCTTAGGAAGGACATTAAATTGTTGGGAAGGGTTCAAAGAACGGCTATCAAGATGATATGTGGAATGGAAATGCTGTCATACAAGGACAGATTAAGATCTATGAAATTGTTTGCTATTAAAAAAGGAATAGTTATAGGTGATCTGATTGAGGTGTTTAAGATTGTTAAGGGAATTGATAGTGTTGATGCATCATCATTTTTCATAACTAATGATGAGAATGATAGAACTAGTAGACACAAATATAAATTTTAACAGGGTAGGAGTCATTTCAGCTACGACAACTTTGTCTTTCAAACAGCATGATTGTCATTTGGAATGGGTTGATCCCAGATGCAGTGGTTGCAGTTAATTTAGGGGGAGTTTAAGGGAAAGCTTGATAAATATTGAAATGATAAGGGCTGGCTTTGTGTGTCTTATTTTAATTTTATAGCTTAGATTGACTGAAAGGTCCCTTGTTGCCCTTAAGTTATATGTAGATGTAATGTGTGATAAGCTGTAACTTGTCAAGAACATTAACAAAGAATGTATCAATTAAAGTGGGCCAATACACTTATAATTCAACCCATATGTTATTACTAATTAATTAAAAAACATACAAATAAAACCCAGTCAGAATGCAAACAGTTATATAGTTTAGGGTGGTATCAGATATGTAATTACAGCCATCTAAAGGTTAAGATAAGATCATAAGATACGGACATTTACTATGTACTTTTTTACATTGTACTCCTATTAATCCTGTAATTTATCATGTTAATTTACATATTACAAATTGGGCCAACTATATAAATATATAATTTTATGAAACAGGTTGATGAGTTCACAAAGGTTTCCTTTTTTACCTTTTTCATTTTAAAGTAATGAACATAAAAAAAAAGACATTAAGTGTGGAAACACACACAAAGCCATTTTTTAAATATGAGATATTCTGGTCATCAAATTGATTAGAAATCAACAATAATTTTATACAAAATGGATAACTACATCGAAAGGACAGTTGTCAAAAGTTGCTTAATCAAGAGCTTAATTTCAACATCTCCCAAGGTCAGTATATGTTAAATAGTTTCCTAATCCCCTGTATCCTTGAGGGAATTGGAAGTTTTGGGATCATGCAGATGTTGTCAACCTGTTTTTCTGCCAGAAGACAGTGTGAGACTAATTTTTCTAATATCTGACAGTTTGTTTCATTTACTGTGGTTTTCCACTAACCATGCTACCATTTAAATCATATGATCATGCTATACATGTGTATATTATTATGCCAATTTGTGGAAGCTGTTAGATCAGTGCAGTATCATACTCAATGCAAATATTGTAGTATTAATTTCTTCTGGGGGGTTATCTGTACTCCAATAAGTATTCCCAGATCAAATTCTCCTTTGTCCCTTTAACTTGGCACTTGTTGAGTATTTATAACTGTTGATAATTAAACACTTGTAGATTTGAATAGTAATAATAATACTTAATATTCTCCAAAAGCAACCAAACATGCTCTACTAGTGTATATGAATAATAAGATACAAAAGCAATCAAATTTTTTCTTGAATAAACAAGCTATCAATCACAATGTGCACCAAGTCACTCCAAGTTTTTGAAAACTATAGCTTAATTTTTGTACTAATATACTTTAATTGAATTTTTATTACTTAAGTGCTTCTAACATAATAAAGAAGTAAGAAAACAAGCTATTATTTTATTTGTATTTTTGTATGCAAATTATTTGATTCTATGGATTTATTACTTCTATCTTTGTTTTTTTTTGTAATTGTCCCTAGTATTTGATGCTTTAATTTTCTTTTTTTTAACATTTTATTTGTATACTTTGTTTTAATGTTTGTTTCTTACTTCTTTGTTTCAATTTTCCATTTTAATTTTTTAAATATTCTTTACTTTACTCTGTTATCTCTACACTGACCATGTTTTCCTGACACAAACTTTAAATTATGTCATGAACTTCTTTCAATGTGGTGAGGAGATTCTTTTCTTCATAGTGCTTGAGCTAGTTGAGTAATATTTAGTTTTTTATTTTGCTTTACAGTACTTGTATCACTCTAAATATAGAAAATATAGTGTTAGAGTATATGATAATAATTTTATCTGGATCTTTAAATTGTTCTTGTGCCCATGCTAGTGTTAGGTGTTATTTGTATGATGTAGGTGTTTAGAATTATAATTTGATAACCCTTTTTTCTTGGTGACTGTTATTTTTTAATTGAAGGTAGAGTCAGTAATTAGTTTTACATGTGGGATATCGATATATTTTTATTGAAGAAAACCACACAGTGAAGTAGCTAGATTGGAAGAGTTCCAGGGTGATCTTCATGTAGTTGCACATGTTAATTATAGGAGAGTGAAAGTCCTATCCATGTATGTGTAGTTGGATAATAACTTTGTTTTTGAGAAGTAAGATAGTGCATTTCCTGGATGCCAACTCGAAAGACCCCACCCTTCTGCATGAGGAACTTTCGTGTACTTTGTCACTGTCCGTTAATGATGCAGAAAGTTGATATTGTTTGATCTCTAGTTTTGTAGGTGTGTGTGTGAAAGGTCAAGAATTTAATATATAGTTATTTAAATTTTTTTTTTCTTAAGCTTTTTATCTGAAATATTTCCTGAACTGTAAGACTACATGTAAAATTTGGTTACAAATAGTGACTAAAAAGAAATGCAAACTTGTAGTAGTTTTTCTGGATGGATAATGAGCTAATTGTCATTCTTTGTAACTAGTAGAAAGAGTCCACATATCTGAACATGTTCAGAATAATACCAACCTTACCTTACTTTCTGTATTGTAGATGTTGTGTTTACTACAATAGTGATTCCTTTATTCCAGTTTAGTCTCATCTTTTATTTTCTTTACCTGTACATTCCATTCTTCTTGTGGCTTGTATGTGTTTGATGTTGTGTGTTTTGTTGTGGATTACGAGCTTCCAGCCATAGCCGTGTTTTATCTCTTTTTGTTACTTGTTATCACTCTGGTCCAGTAGTCTTCTTTACCAGATCTGTGTACTTGTGCTATCTGGCTTACTTGGACTTTTAGATGGTACACATTGTACGTATGTGTCAGGTGCTGTCCTAACTAGCCTGTGAGTTGGTTTGATTTGTGGATGATTCAGTGTGTATATGTAGAACTATCTTGACTAGATGAGTCAATGTGTATATGTAGAATTATCTTGGCTAGATGAGTCAATGTGTATGTGTAGAACTATCTTGACTAGATGAGTCAATGTGTGTGTAGAACTATCTTGACTGGATGAGTCAATGTGTATGTGTAGAACTATCTTGACTGGATGAGTCAATGTGTATATGTAGAACTATCTTGACTGGATGAGTCAATGTGTATGTGTAGAACTATCTTGACTAGATGAGTCAATGTGTATATGTAGAACTATCTTGACTAGATGAGTCAATGTGTATGTGTAGAACTATCTTGACTGGATGAGTCAATGTGTATGTGTAGAACTATCTTGACTGGATGAGTCAATGTGTATATGTAGAACTATCTTGACTGGATGAGTCAATGTGTATTCATAGAACTATCTTGACTAGATGAGTCAATGTGTATGTGTAGAACTATCTTGACTAGATGAGTCAATGTGTATATGTAGAACTATCTTGACTAGATGAGTCAATGTGTATATGTAGAACTATTTTAACTAGACGAGTCAAGGTGTATATGTAGAACTATTTTTTTCTTTCTTTGATTTTTACAGAAACAAAGGGGTTTCACTGATAGGATGAGCACTGGCCCTTGCCTCAAACTTTGTCTTGCCTGTAAAACGACTTATGTTATCAAAATTCTCATTCATTAAGAATTCTATAAATTTATTGCATTACTTCTGTAAATCACTGGATCTATTGACTTGATGTTGTGCCTACACACTTTACCATTTTTTCATATTATGTTTTAACCCTCATAATGTTTGTTAAGGGTTACTCAGTCTACTTAACTTCCTGATTGTAATAGGAAATGTACTGGGAGACACTCGTTCTCCATCCAGAAGTAGGTATTATTTGAATTACATTTTAATACAAAAAATGTAGAGATTGCTAAATTGGGAGGGAGCAGCTTCATACTAATGATCATTTCTATTTTTAACTGAGATGCTATTACTTGTATGTCATCAAAAGTATCTTAATTAATTTTAATCTTGTTGTAAATTGATGAATTGTTAAAAAAAATTATCCTTTCATCTGGATAACTTTAGAGATGGTGAAACATTCCTGATGGATTCCGTCCTTTCAGAATTTATTGCTCGGACAGCTGCTGACCCAGGGCTAGCTAGGGATTTGTTGGAAGGTTGGTTGGATATTTTTGTTACTTTATTTGATGATTATGGTGTATAAATTTGTCTTTGTTTCTAAAATTGTCAGTCTTTCCTCATTTTAATATCAATCACCATATATTACACACGTATTTAAATGTTACTTGAATAAATTGGAGTTATTTGTGTGTGTATAATAATAAAAAAAAAGAATAGATAACTACGATATGTTATATAACTTGAAGTGTTAAGATTTTAAAATATTATATTTCAGAAATGCACTATAACGTGTACTATTTTGTGATAATGGAAAAAAATATACATATTTAGAGTATAAAGCATCAAAATCGGATTCAGAAAGTCTGATAAAACCTAGTGCTTCCATCAGGGTAGACCTGTCTTCACTAATAGAAAAGCCAGAGTATATTATTTTATCCATTGATAGGTGACTGTGATAAGTTGATTGTTGTTAAAGGTTAGTCTAGAATTAATGTTTTTGCACTAATGCCCAGATTTATGTATGAGAGCATAAAATCTGAGAATTGTACAAATTTATAGCTCATCAGTGCAGTTACTTGTGAATAAGGGAATCAGTCGAACTGGACAATTAAACGTTTTTAGCCAGACAATGGAAAATGTACATGACCAAGCATAGCATATATCATATTGTTAATAAATATTTCCTACCTAACTTAAAAGGTTTACTGTTTCTATAAAGTTTGAGGGGACTTGCTAACTGATAAGCATTGGGCTCAGTAATTGCTTACATTCAAGTAGTCAATTATTTTGAGATGAGCTAATATTCTTACTTACAACTTATTTTGTATTTCCAAACTACTCTTGGTTTAATATGATAGATATCTTCAGATACAACGATTTAGGTTTAAATTACATTTTTAATCCTAAATTGTCGTACATGAAAATATAATATATACAATGTATTACAAAACCCATTACAAGCTGAGAATATGACTGATACTGTTCCTTGGATTTCTCCTTACAAGTTTTCACAAGACTACTCTACTAAAATTTGTTTATTTTTGTTTACAAAATTAAATATTACTCTGTAGTATTGATTATAAATTAGCCAAATATGATACATAACATTATCAGGTTTAATTGAATGATAGCCTTTTACATGCCCTTAAAAAAATTTGACCAGTATAGTAAGGTGTGCTGTGTGATCAATCACAGTTAATAAGGTTAAAAAAAAAAGTGTAGGATCGTTACAAAAAAAACTAGGATATTTATTAG